ATGGTATTCAAGATTTTCTTAAATTTCAAATTCAAATATGAAATCAGTTCCAATGTCCTTTTAGCAATTGAAACAAGTATTTTATTTAGATACAGGGGCGGATCCAGCCATTTATAAAAGAGGGGGTTCCTAACCCAGGATTAAAGGGGGGAGGGGTTCCAACTATATATCCCCATTCAAATGCACTGATCGTCAAAAAAAGGGGGGTGGTCCAACCCCCGGACCCCCCTTGGATCCGCCACTGAGATAAGATCACATTCAGCGGTATGTGGAACTGGTATATAGCACCCTTTACATAGGCGGATCCAGGGGGCCCTGGCCCCCCCTTTTGTGGGAAATATTTGGTTGATTATATAGGGAATCACTGAAGCATGACTGGAGCGGCCCCCCCCCCCCCTTATGAAAAGTTCTGGATCCGCCACTGCTTTAGAGCACATGGCTTCACCTTTGTTTCTCAGTCTCTTGGGCGTTCGTTCATCGTTTTGTTGCCACTGAAGCTTTTATACTGATTGTAAACAAGTTAACTTGTATCTAGCTTATTTGCAGGTATTTCGCAAACATCTTTAATACATACAATCTGGTCCTATACAACATTCACTTCATACTCATGTCTAAAGTGTCACACGTGGAGCAGGATCTTTTTACCTTCCGGGGCATCTGAGTTCACCCCCCCTTTCCATTTATGTTTTGGTTGGGGTTTGTGTATCTCAGTCTTTATTTTTCTATGTAGTATTTTGTGAACTTATTTGTCTGGGTGGTTTTTAACTTTTTTGTATTGTCCGTTTCTTTTCGACTTGATTGTGTCTTTGGTATCTTCCCTCTTTTTTTTTTAGGAATTCACTTCGGAAGTCCTCTAGTAGCCATTCAATTAGAAGACGATATCGATATGCAGTTTTGTCACGAAATACGAATTTTAAGTGCAAAAATTGTATAAGTTGCACACGTACGGATGTAAAGGATCCCTTTTTAAGATTTTAAATAAAGGGAGACAAAATAACATATCATATGTTTGCAATTTTAATGAGTGTAAATGTAATCCTTATTCAGATAGTTTTGTATGTCAAATGGTTAAACGCTTGCAGCTATTTGAGTGACGTTTTATGGCATGTATAATTGCATTTAGAATTAATATTCTTCCGCATGTCCTTGTAACTTTATTGTCCTTAAACATGCAAACTTTAATTGCATTAAAAGTCTTTGAAAAGACCATGTTTTGTGTCACATAAGTATTAAGAAAGAACTTATAAAATTTCAATTTACAACATAACTCGTCAAGAGACTGCTTTTGTGATAGGAAAAAAAAAGGAGAGGGGGGGGGGGGGGGGGGGGGGGGTATATCTATCACTCTTATTCTGTTTATAATTTTGTTAAGGTTCTGTAAAAAACCGTTGTGTAACTAAGTTCTGTCTAATCAAAACCATGACGAAAGTAATTGACCAGTGCCGAAGGAAGATGAACCTCAGCTTGACTAATATTCCGGTGAACAGGGAGCAAAATGTCACCCTATTTAAACTAGTTTTCCATCTTGGTTCTCGTATTCATCTTCTCCATAGAAGGATATAAATTCGATAAAAATCAGGTCCAGGACTCGTCCATCACAAATCTCAAATAAAATTGAGAATGGAAATGGGGAATGTGTCAAAGAGACAACAACCCGACCAAAGAGCAGAACACAACCCAAGGCCACCACGGTGTACCAGGTACTTAAATAAAATAATAAAAGTTATTATACTTGCGAAAAGCTCGCAAACCGCGGTTGTCGAGCCCCATAACAATTTAGGAGTATTTTAAGTTCTTTTTTTTTGCAAGAAAGAGGGCAGTATACAGGTTTTTCAATACTCCTGATTTGCAAGTTTTTGTTAATATCTTTTTTTTTTATATTACTGGAGTTCCTGTGACAGCCTTAGCGTAGTGAGTTTGATGCAAGTGTTTAAAAATCATAATATGACGAATAGATAGTGCAGAAAGCACTGTACATTCGAATGTCAATAGTACAATTTTACAGGGAAAAAATCAGAGTTTCGAAAAATCAAGATATCTCCCGAAAAGTATAAAATCAAATCTGACGCGTACTTCAGAATGTTATCCAAATTTTATCAAAATGTCTGCACTTAAAAAGACTAACAATTGTTACATACTCATTTATGATCTATCAATCAAATTTAATGCATTGATATCTGTCGAACTGAGAAGTTCAATGCAAATAAATTATTACTCTATTGTTTACGCTAATAAAATATAACAGTCTGCTATTAAGTCATAAACTCTAATATAATGATCAACTTGGGAATGTTCTCGTTCGATTTTCAGTGTAATACTGAATAGTGTTAAAACTTCATTTATAAAATATGTTAAACGCTTAGTAAATTTTCCTGCAGAAATGTCAATGAATGAAAATTGACAGAATGAAGCTATTTAAAGAGCGAATCTTCATGTTATACTATTTCTGTATATAAAGATTGTTAAAAAAAGATTCCACGAATCTTTGTGGGACTGAAAATCTAATGGTCTTCCTATATCCTTCAAATCTAAACCAAAAGGAAAAAAGTCAATTCCTTTAATTTAAAACTGTCTTTAGAGCTGATGACAGGGGACTACTCTCAATTGTTTTTCTTGGACTTAATTTTAATTTTTTTTTTATGATTTTTAATTGTCACAAGTATACACATGTATGTCTGTAGGACTTACTAAAAAGTATTTTACCGAGTTACCATCTCTTAATAAAAGCAGAAATCGTTAACCTCAGACTGTTAACTAATTTCATAATAACTTTAACATTATACAAAGCATCTATCACTTAAAATGGTAACTTTCACAACTTTTTACTTGGCCATTCGAAAGTCTTTGACAAAAATTTCTAAAAACTTTTAAGGCCCCAAAAATATATATGTTTGTTTCCTGCCTCTAAGCTGGAAAAAAGTTTATTTATTTTTTCATTTCATTTTTTTTTTAACTAAGAACAGGTAAATTCAAATGAGTATTATTAAACATTTTAGGAGAGAAGAAAGCTTTTTACATCACTGTGGTTAATAATTATCTGATTGTTGATTGCTTAACGTCCAGTGGCAAATTTGTAGGAAACAAGATATATCGATATGTCGAAGGATAATAGTTCAACAGTTTATAATGTTTGAAAACAAATATCAACTTTCAACTATCTAGGTCTACTCAAATTTGCCAAAATAATGACTAGCCAGATATTGTAAATGTATGAAAAGAAAAGAATACAAAAGAATATTCACGTGTACCATAATCCTCCAAATAAAAAAAAACTTATTTTTCTTTCGACGCGTAGCTCTTGTAACATGGCATTGCACCCACAAAACCCGAATCAAACTTGACACATTATACTGAAAATACAGAAACGGACAGATGGAAAAATGAAATGAACAAGTGAGACGGTGAAATGCATTTCACCTGTCAATTATCGGAGCAAACTTTACCGTGTTATAAATATTCTAGATGATAAAAACAGATTTTTCTATCAATTAACGTGACACGTTTGAGCCTTCTGGAAAGTGATGAACTTTCACAGCAATCTTAATTACCAAACATTTGTAAACTCTACAAAAATGGATGACCCGTCATTTTTTATAATGCTACATTTTTACTAAATTGTTTTTCTATAACTTTAAAATTGGCGGGAATCTGGTTTAACTTCCCAATGTTTTATCTATTAGCTGTGATTTCTCTGGAATTCCGATAAAGTTTGAAAATAAGTTACATAATTTTTACCGAAGAAAAGCTACTACAACAATAGCAGTTTTACAGTGTGCCGCATGCATTTAGGTGGGCCGAACATGTCCACATTTTATTCGATGCGAATGACGAAGGCTTTTCCTTACTAGTTGAGATGAACTGTTTGTTAACCAAAGCATACACATGATAAAACATTTTCTTAATTTGTTCCAGTGTTATTGCATAAGTTATCATGCTATAGTATACAATAAGTAATGTTAAGCAAAGGGTCAAATAGAACGACCGAAAAATAATGAATGAGTACATACAGCAAAATGTAAATATAACCGTCTCATTGACCACATCTTTATATTCACTTGGAATCGGGGAGCTTAAAACTCATAAAACCAGCCCTTGTTCCATCTAAAGTGATTCCAAAAAGCATATAACTTTCCATTCTTGATTAAAAATTAATTATTGACAAAACATTTACACTAAACAATTGAAAACTGATGAAATGTGTTTAGAATATTATTGGAATTTTCTTTGTTTAAAACAACATATTTTAATACCAGCTGCTAAGTTGTATTACAACCCAGTGCTTTCACATAAATTAGAAACTGGATATTTTTCGTTAAACTGACAGAGATATCTATTTGCGTTGGGCTGTGTTTACTTCTTTAACATGATAAATCTTTCACATTCTTCCTAAGTTGCACACAAGCTCCTTTTAAATATGTGAAAGATTTGAATGGTTTCGACCTACATTAAACGATGAGATTTACAAATTATGTGTATTTCATCTCAGGTTGGGAATAAACAGTCAACAGTATGGCAGGATACTTAAACATCATTTAAACTATTTGGAAAGCTAATGTTTAAGTGCATTTAGCAAGTCATAGAAGCAGAATAGTTAAACTTAAAATTAGGAGAACACTTTGCAAGAAGTATTAAGGTATTAAGTAAGATAAATCTCGTCACAACCTTCGCGACAGTTTAATGAATTGGGAGAAAAAATATCTTTTCAAAATGGTAACAAAACATTTTCCTGCCACCATTATAGTGACATAGATTTATGAATTGGGAAGGAAACTTTGTAAAATTGGATTTAGAAAGGTAACAAAACTATTTAACTCCACCTTCATGACACTAGTGAATATATTTAAATGTTCATAATAACAGACTATTATATTCTATTAAGCCATATATAATAATATGTCAACAAAATCGGATATGTTGGTCTCACACGCTCGGCCGATCTAGAGGTGGCGATAAGGGGGTAGAGATAAGGGGTAGATGCATGAAAAACTAGAAGGCAAAAGTCTTTTAAATTTGACATTTTTATCTCTGACCATAAATAACAAGATATGAAAATAATGAACAATAATAAGGGATCTTGAACAATGCAAAAATATGAAAAATAACATAATAATGAGATGTTCTACTTGAACGGCTGTTTATACAATAGATCATTATTTATAGTTACTTATGAATATCAACCTTTGATATAGTTTAGTGTAGTTCACAGCACAGCCAAAATAAAATTATTTCTACCCAGATTTTCTAAATTATATTTCGATTCACTGTTTTTACTTAGCCCCAATCTTTCAGAATAATGAAGTCAAGCTTAAATTCCCCAATGAAAACAATTCTACATAACTGCACTCAGTTAACTAGGCAATTCTTGTTTTATATAAACAACTGCTTCACAATGTGCCTTTATTCAAATGCTGCCTGTATTGAACTGAAAAGTTATAGATTGATCACGCGAACAATCATCCAAAAATTGTTTTTATAAAACTAAATTCTTAATTTACAACTTAATTCTTTCTAAACGTCAAATTTTTATCAACTTCACATTCCAAATAATCTTGATAAAGTAGAAAAATTCGAACAAAACTGGGAAGAATTATTCAAAATTGAAACGTGTTAACAATTTTCCAATTTTAACGACTTAAACCTGGCATGCATGTTTATAATCAGATAATAAAAACCTTTGACCCTTTAATACTGAGGCAGTTCTACAATACACATTAAAATGCATCGCATACCACTGAGATGTAGAGAGAGATTTTCAAATCTATTGGGGGAGCGTAAAGTGATTTTTTTACCTAGTTAATGGAGTTGCATGTAGCATGTTGCCAATATCTTAGATGCAAAATATAACTGTCAGAAACTATGAAAGTAGATATCCCCATAAATCTTTAACGAAAATCTGCGGGTAGCCTTTTCCTGTTTTTGTTTTCTGAAAGATCCATATGGCTTAAACCCCGCTGTTTTGTATCATGGTTGTAATTCCACAGACTTGAACAGATTTATCAATGAATGATGGTAGTTTGAACACAATCAACATTATGAGAGAAAAGCTTTGATTTAACAGAATTCTCGTTAATAGAGTTTAATAATACACACACAAAATATTACCCTTGGAGTTTATCCACCAACTTATAAAGTTGATACGAGTATTTCACAAATGTTTTTTTAACGTATAACGCAACACATAACGGAAACAACAAATAGCCCAGCCGTATAACGTAATATATATATATAAAACAAACCATGCCTAGACTATTGTCTCGCTGTCTGTCTTTATATAACGTTTTGTTTTATCTACCCGAATTGCCCTGTTTTGTTTAATAGGAATCTGTTGGTAATGTTGTTGTGGAATACGGTATTCGTACTGTTTTCGTTCCGGTTTTTTGCTTATACATAATTTCCCAACGAAATTCCTCCAAGAATTGATTGTTTTCGAAGACCATACCCACATGCCGCTTGTAATTCCAACAACAAGCGACATAAATATTTTCAACATAAAAATTTCAATCTTTGGTGAATTTGTGGAATATTTCGAATACCACGAGTCCCTGCTTGTATATTCATAAAACAAGCACGCTATTACACAAGCTGCTGGGACAGTATATAAGACGGAAAAAATTCCAATTCGGATCATTAGCACTTCTAGTTTGTCTGTTTTAACTCCATCGTTTCGCACTTGTTTTCGGATTCTAAATAAAGCTACAAAACCAGCGACTAGGAAAGTTATTCCAATGAAGAGGTAGACTAGTAAAGGGGCAATAACAAACCCCAATAAAGTTCGCGTGTTCTGATTCCCCACATAACAAACACCAGTCAATTCATCAGCGTCCACATCACGCATCACTAATATAACTATTGTTTTAATGGCCGGAATGGCCCAAGCCACTAAATGAAAGTAGCTACTGTGAATTTGGATGGCCTCGTGGCCCCACTTTAGTCCTGCTGCCAGGAACCATGTCAATGTTAAAATCACCCACCAGAGCGAAGCGGCAGTACCGAAAAAGTATAATAATAAAAATACTATAGCACAGTCTGTGTTTTCTAAGCCTTCTTGGATTAAAATTCCTAGTCCATTTTGTGGACTTGTCACTGTTGGGTCTTTGTCACATGCTATAGATTCCCGCCCTGCAATGAGTCTAACTATAAATGCAATGCTGAAAATGTTAAAGCACATGGATAGAAAAATTATGGGTCTTTCTGGATAACGGAATCGATGTGTTTCTATGATGAATGTTAGCACTGTGAAAAGAGTTGATACAAAACATAATCCGGCCCAAATAGCCATCCAAATGTCTGCGAAATATTTGTCCTCGCTGCTGAATGCATCATGGTATCCACATTGTAGTGCACATCTGTCCGTTCGGTTTATGTATGTGTACATTTCGGAGTGTCTATAATGCATACATTTTAAGCTACTGATTATATTCCAGTCCATAGGAATGGACGGAATTTGAGTTGGGTACATTGGATGGAGTCCAGGCTGGCCAGGCTTCGAATGCGATCCTGGCTTCGGTCTTCCAGGACGACGAGGTAAGGGATCATCTTCCTCCCCCGGACCGTCCATACACATATGATTTTGATCGTTTTTGGGTGGAAATTTTGAGCAATTCAATGCCGCTGGCCACGGAAATCCAAATTCATTCAATACTGGCCTACAACGTTTCTGAACATTAGTACACATTGGTCTACACGGTCCAATGGGGTCCATGACTTTCTCTGTACACATTGGAACGTAAACAGAACACAAGAAAAACTTCAATTGTTTAGAACACCCGTATTGTATCAATGGGGTAAATGTCTGCAGTTGTAACTCGGCGTCCTGTTGTAAATCGTGTCCGACAAGATTCGGCATACCCGTAACGTTATATCCTAATCCCTTGCACATTTCTATTCGGATAGGGTCACATTTTCGGACTATTTCCGTACCGAACATATACAATCCCTTCGGCAGAAATAAACACATAAAGCCTGCCAACACCACACGTGTTGTCAATTCCATAGTAATTATAACTGGTAAATTACATAAGTTGCAATTAATAGTCTTTAATATTTAACTGATCACTTAAATGCGAATTAAATCCCCATAATATACACGACTTCTCCTCCCACCGCTGTTGGCATCAAGTAAATATTCCTGCATCTCTCAAGAGAACGAGTTAGACATAGATAATGTACGTTATCAACAAATCTTTCCTTCTCACGAATGCCATGTGAAATAATGTCTATCTTTCCTTCGTTGTTCTATTTAATCTGTGGATAAAATATCGTTTTAGCTTAGAAAAGAGTGCATGCCAGCGATCATGCCCTACTGGTGTTGGGTTTCACACAAACTCGACCCAATCAGCTGGTTTGTTATGATTGGCGACTCCTCCCCGCTTCAGTACTTTACGATCTATTCCAACCATCAATCAAATCTGCCAATCATTAACAACTATCCGGGGATTAACATTTATTGGCATGAGATTTATGAATAGTTGAATCTTCTTTTGTTAACAATAATGGATTCTTTTCAGTCGAGTTATTTACTTATGTTAAACCAATTCTAGCCTTTTGTTACGGTTTCCACTTTCTATTCACTGTAAACGACTTTTATAATAACTAAAGTCAACGTTGTGCGTGTTTATACATAAATAACTAGCTGTCAGTTGAAACTATATGTAACGAAAGACAAACACCTTACCCTAAATTTCCTGCCGAGGTATTAATTATTTACATGACAGTTCAAAAATTGCTATACGTTAGTGTCCTTTTCATAAATCTACCTGGAATACTGTGTCGTTGTTTTTGCCTTGTTTTCACATCCGAGTCATGAATTTATATAAAACATTTCACTTATCAGGAATAAATATAACTGCGGTGTGACACCCTCGTTGTCGTACATTCATCATTTGTCTCGCTGCAGGTGTGTAACGGTTAACAACGTAATCCTTGTGTCATATTAATTAAATCAAACCTAAAACATGAAAAATGTTCTGATACGAACAAACTCTATGTAGTAATAACATTAAAAACTTATTTTCTGACGCTATATAAACTAAAAAAAGACATTAAAGAAAAACACTTGTATGTTGTCACAAGATGGACAGCTCAATGTCCACTTAAATCGTACATCTCACGTATTTTGTCAATTCATATTGCACAAGAATGGAAAAGAAACTTCATCCTTTTCAGTTCCGTGCTTTAAAAGGTGTTTTCACTGACGGTCGCGTTTTGAACAATGGGATGAGAAGTATTCACTTACAACATCTGGTTTAATAGAAGTTTAACAAAGATGTAATTAATTCCACAAACTTTCATCTGAATAAATCAGATAGATTTCCAGCAAACATCTGTTGCTTGTGACGACAATCAACTGATATTCTGTGTATCTAGTGTTACTCATCACGCTAATCAGCGACAAGTCCGACAGAGTTATCGTTCTTTATCAATTATCAAAAATGGTACTTGGCATAAGGGAAATAATCCAATCTTAAATTGTACAACAAATGCACATCCTAATGCAAGAATTTGATATTTAACCGTTTTTTTTTATACCCGTCATCTGTTATTTGTCCTTAAATGTAAGATAAATTATTTATATTGTTCAAGTTTATATATAAAACTTTTGACTTTGAATATATACTAAAATTGTATGCACCTGTCCTAAGTTAGGAATCTGATGTTCAGTAGTTGTCGTTTGTTGATCATGTGGTTCATAAGTGTTTCTTGTTTTTCGTTTTTTATATAGATTAGACCGTTGGTTTCCCGTTTGAATGGTTTTACACTAGTAATTTTGGGGCCCTTTATAGCTTACTGTTCGGTGTGAGCCAAGGCTCTGTGTTGAAGACCTTACTTTGACCTATAATGGTTTACTTTTATAAATTTTGACTTGGATGGAGAGTTGTCTCATTGGCACTCATACCACATCTATTTATATCTAAATATGTCTTGGTACACAACATACATGACATATGAGTTTCAGGCAGGTTACCCACACATGATCACACATGTTCTCGTCCTGAATATGCACTGTACGCTACACAGCCATCCATCATTAGCATCATACATGTAAATGTTGCATGTTTTATCGGTTGGCATTGAATGATTGACTGTTGGTTGCCTTACGCCCATACCACTTGAAAATCGGGGAAGGAGAAAAAACGTTTTACAGTCATTGTCAAAGTGGGAAAAGTTTCTGTAAAACTCGCGTGGAGCTACTATTTTTCAAATTTAGACAGATCTTTGATGTATATAGAACATGGTATTCTTGGAGGAATCACACTTTTGCGTCAAGCTATAGCCTTCGACAAGATATGAACTGCCCAGCACTCTGCCGACACAACCTTCTTTATTCAGATCTCCATTGCTGTCATAATATGTTGGTTGAAAAGAAAACTAAATACTGCAAAATTCGTTTTCAAATTTTAATTACTTTCAAAATCTGATGATCCCAAATTAATTTTTCTATCGTGATTTCTTTTATAGCGAAAGCGCTAAAGAAAAGACCTCTTTAAAAAAGCAGCGATGAACGTGGCTTCTTTAAAATTAAGTTAGCATTATCAAGATGAAACAGTAATATTCCGATATATCCATTTGGAATAAACCCGAGAGAATCGCATGAATCCCAACCAAAGCAAGAATAGATGCATCGCCATGGTAAGCGTTATGTACTATGCATGCATCAATCTTCATGCCGAGTAAAAAGACACAATCAGTAACTATTTTCAGATCGGAGAAATGTTCTGGTTTCTCAAGACGAAGACCGCAAAACTTGTTAACCCAAGGGGACAGATACCAACATATCAAACAAGAGAACCAATTCGAGATGGCGACCATCAGACTTGTGCTTCGTCGATTTCAGTTGTTCTTTCTCATAAACCTGCTGAAATATTTTGTGTGTTAGGTTAGGAACACAAACCCTAATAAAGTCTGTTAATATGAACATGCACGTGCGCATCGTGTAAATTGAGATATGTAAACGGAGAAAAACTTGAGCATTATGTGTAACTGTTAATACACGAGAAAGGGGAAGATGACAGTGGGAGAACGGAAAACGTGACGCTTGTCATATATTCAGTTTGAGATTTCCATCTTTGTTAATTTGATAATAATAATAAAAATCAATAAAAAGAACGGGCATGAAGAAGACGTTCTTGTTTCGGTAAAGTATACTTAATGTCAAGTTCATTGGGAGGTCATATGCTCGGTGACCATGGGTTACTGAACGATGCTTTTTTTCTTTCTGTTTTGGAATTATTATATGAATAAACAAGCAATTTGTATGGAAAAAAAACATTGTTTTATAAAAACAAGTAGTTGGTCTTCTAATTAAATAGCAATGAATTCCAATTTCAAATGTTAAGCAATCCCAATTAAGATTCTTCGCTTATAGAAAAATTATTCCTGGCTTTGTCTGCTGGAGCAACAACATACATTCAGGGAAGACAGGAACATATTTGGCGAATTCTGTTTTAAAAGACTACGTTTTACATTATCTTCAGTTGTTGTCAGGGTTTGAATAGTCTAGCAATTTCTCAAATATTGTAACAAATCGGTACTCGACGGACTTTGTATCTATACATGTAATGGCGTCCGACCTTATGACCTCTTGCCAAAGTGAATTAAACTTGAATAATAGAATGGGAAATAGTTTAGTACGAATTTAGTAAACACCATAAGGTTTTTCAACAGAGGAAACTTAAAGGCCATCAACATATACAATATTAACGGCATGGGTATTTGCAATTGCCCAGACTCCAATGATAGCACAGAGCTGTTACAAAATCGCCCCAATTTCGACTTTACGAACACCCACACCGACTTCTGTCGTAGATGACTTTATCTAAAAACACTGCTTTTGTTTTCTTAGCAGCCCATTTTGAATAGCTTGTATAATTCATCATTGTTTGTATAACTATCTGTAAATGACAAATTATTAAATAAAATATGATTACTCTATAGAATGTCTGTTCCTTATTCTCGAATCCAGAAATATTCTCTTTGTAAGCGATGTACTCGATATTGGGTCGTTTGGTAACTGACAACTTTCTCCATAATCCAGATTTTCAAAGAATCAATCGAATAACGGAAATGTCAAGATGGTTCAATGTTTATAGTGCTATATATTCTTGATTATGTCTGGACGTTAAGCAAACATCAATCAATCAATCTTGCTTACGTCATTGACGACCAATAATCGTCCTGATACTGGTCACTCCATAAAGTGTTCTTTTAATACCGTTCGTAATATTGAATGCAGTACAGTGCAAATACTCGTCACACAACATTCTGTGGCGAAATAATTTTTAAAAAACGTATATCACACGATTTACAGTTACAATTAGAAATAAATCAATTTGTGTGCATTGTCATTAATATCTATAACGTGAATGTAAATAAAATTGTTTTAACTTTAATAGCCCTGGAGACAAACACAAGAGGTTCTCTTAAGCCTGAATCGCTCACCTTGTAAAACATGCCATTTTGATATTTATTTTTTTCCTTTATAGCAATCAGTTATGGTAGCTTATTTGTAGATCTTATTCATTACTTTTTTTAGGTCTTGTATGATGATCTTTTTACTGTTTACAGTTTATACCTATCTATTAAAGTTTTTGAGATATAAAACGTCATTTTATGGCAATAAATCCTATGAATAGTGTGACAATTTCGGCCATGTTGACTTATTTGTAGATCTTTTTGTGCTCAACATCTTTGCTATTTACAATTTCTCTCTATTTATAATGGTTTCTGCAAATAATGCAAAAAAAAAGAAGAAAGATAAATAATCTTTCAAGGGCAAAACCTCCTATAAGCTGTCAATTAAAAAATTCGGTGAAGCATTTGTAGATCTTACTCTACTGCTGAACACTATTGCTTTAACAATTTCTCTCTCTCTCTATTATAGTTTCTGCCAAAAAACCGCAAACAATGAGTAAACTTAGTTTTTCAAAGGCAACAACCCCTATAAGAGGTCAATTGATGATTCGTCCATGCTGTCTGATTTGTAGATCATATTTTGTTGAACATTAATTTTATACTATCGAAAGATTCTCTCTGTCAACTATAGTTTTCTAAAAAAAATACAAAAGGGTAGAAATCATCATTTCAAGGCAAAAACTCTATAAGAGGTCATTTGACGATTTCTACGAAGTGTACTAATTTGTAAATTTTATTGTTCTGGTCATTTTTATTGTTTAAAATTTCACTCTATCTATTACAGTTTTTCAAGATTATATTGAACCAAAAACTGAGAAAAAAGATATTTCAAGGCTAATAACTGCAAAATGGTTTGTCCGATTTTTCTGAAAATTCCGCCGTGAGGAGTTAGACTTTGACCTGTTGATAATTTTTACCCATGACAGATTTGCTTTTACCCCTATGTTCTATTTTTAGCAACAGCGGCCATGTTTGTTGATGGATCATAATCGCGAATACAATTTTAAAATTATAGACATTTAGGAACACTTAGGTAAAGTTTAGTATCATTTGGTCTAGCATTTTCAGAGAAGAATATTTTTTAAAGAAGTTTACGACGATAGACGGACAAACGACAGACGAAGACAGGCGGATGGACAATGGAAGCCAAGTGATGGCAAAAGCTCATATGGCCTTTTAGGATCAAGATGATCCTAGGAACGCCTTTGTTTGAATTTCTATTGTGTTGACGACATCTTCTCTACATTGAACATGTTTTCATCCTGGGCAGGATGAAAATTAGCTGAAATAATAAAAATGAAACAACTCCATTGAAAATATCTGTAACATATTTGTAGGGTTCATCAGAAGAAATTGACAAATACGACTAAACAAACATGTGCACTTGGAAAAAGTTTTAAGGCACGACAGGACATAAAAAATAAAATTTAAATGCGTTTTTTATGTGTCAAATTTTAAAAGTTTCCAGGATCTCGAAATTTCTTTTTTCCGTGCTAACAGAATGTACCAAAAAAGATAAACTGTAAA